GTCGCTACAATGAATAAATTCAAGTTTTTGAAAAATCTTAATATGTTAGGAAAAATCTTGCATAGAGATTTTGTAGCTGAAAGGTTTCTCTACAAAATACACTATTTAGTTTTCAAAAATGTTGTTTGAAATTGCAGAATTTATAAATGAAAGCGTACATAATGAAAAATTTTATCCTTTTTTAAGTCATATCGGTAATGAATGAAATTACTCATATGCATTTATCTTTAGAATAATTTTACCTGATGTCCTCCAGCGTTAACTTCACTATAAATAGCTGTATCAACAATATAAACGGGTGCTATTTGAGCAAGTAATAATATTAAAGCACTTAATGGACGTTGTTGTACAAGCCATAAATCAAGACAGCCGGGTAATGCTGCCCAATATGACTGTAAAGTAACAGCACATATGGATGCAATAACAGCAGGTAAAAAAACAAAATTTGAACCAAGTAAAGTATGTGATACATATGTATAAAGACCATAAAAAGCCGCAATTTTTAATGAAGCAATAAATACACTTGTTGCTACATCATTAACTGTTTTACCTAAACCTGGACCACCTATTGCTAATATATTATTAAGCCATATTGTTGGTTGATATATTGGTTGATCTGAATGTGATAGAAGATAGAAAAGTAAAGTAATAAAAACAATAAATGAAACAAAAAAATTTAATAAAGCAAAACCACCCGTAAATAATAATGAAATAATTGTTGAAATTAATGTTAAAATAACTGTAGCATTTGACCAAATCGAATCAAGAATAGTACGTAATAAATCAAGATTATTACGTATTAAATCATAAATATCATTTAAATGAAAATCAAAATTTTTTTGTATATGTTTTAAAAGCTTTAATAAACGAAAATTTTGATTTGATGATGAATGTAATATTCTATTAGAATTTTTATGTGTAATAAATAATGTTGATGTATTTGTTATATATGTATAAAGACGATCCCATAATAATAATATTTGTTCTTCGAGTTTTTTATTTGATAAACTATCTTGACTTAATGCGCTTACATAGAGTGATTCGTCTCCAATGACACTTATTGGAAGACAACATTTGATTGGAACACGAGGTGGTTGAACTTTTGCAACCTAGTAATGATAAACGACATAAAAGTATTTCTTTCTATAAATTTTTTCAACCTGTTTAGTAATCCAATTTCTTCCAAAAACATACAATTTAGTAAGAGCTCTACCCATTAAATGACTCATATGCTCTTTATCAGGTAACATATCTTGTAACACAATTGTTTCATTAACAAGATTACTTGTTAATTTAATCATATGTATACTTTCATGATGGATCTAAAATTTCAATATAATAAAAAATAAATAAAATTGAAAAACAACAATAGATTAAATAAAACCTGTATAACAAGCAGTATACTACCAAAAAGAATAAGAATAAATAATGTAAAAATCATACAGGCACTAACAAGATAATCAATTGATTTTTGTAAACTATGATTTATTTTTTTATCACCTTTTATAAGAAAACGAATAATATTTTGTAATAATGGTGGTGTTAAAACATCACGTCTAATCAAATAAAAAAAATAAAAAAAAATGAATTTGTTAATAAAAAACAAATATTTCTTACCTGATTTTCCAAAAATGAATAATTCGTTGAATAATGTATTTTATATATATTTGTTGACATAAATAAGAATATGTATAGAGTAGAAAATATTTAATAACTTTATAAATAATTATAAAAATTAAAATTGGTATAAGATATTGATAGAATTGATAAACTTTTATAGCTATTAAAGACCAAAGTACAAATGTAAAGTAGGATGCTGATGAAGATGAAGAAGATGAAATGTCAGGTAATGAAGATTTATTTTGAAAATAAGCTCGAATACGTCGAAATACATTGATTAAATTAGTGAATATTGATTCTCGACATTGATCGACTTTCGAACTTTGAGATCCTAGAAGTATTTCAATATCAAAAAAACAAAAGATTTATTAGGTGATCTATTTTCCTTTATTTAATTAGATCAAGTTCATTTCTTTCATTATATTGAAATACATGAAGTTAAAATCTCTGTACTGTTTTTTTATTTTTTATTTAGTTTATAAAAAACAAAATGTATTACATTAAGACGAAGATTCGTATAATTTCTATCAAAAAATATTAGTTTATTTTCATTAGATTGAAATGTTTTCAAATTGGTCCCAATAATCTCATTTTTTATGAAGAAATAGACTATACATTTTTATATGTGTTATTCTATTTTAATTAATGACCCGAAAATTTTTATTTAAAATTTCGATAATTTCCATAGAATTTTGAGTATATACAACACAATATACATCAATTTGGTTTAATAGTAGTTTCAGCATTCCTTTATTTGTATCTTTGTTTTTTTCGTTATTGTTATTTCTAGTGTAAACTCTTTAGTGAGAATAGGAAAATAAATATAAAAATGTAGATTTAATCTTCCAAAAAAAATCGTTCTGAGATTAGTTATAAAAAACAGCAGTTCCACTCTTGCAGATCTTAAGTTTCACGATAATCAAATGAATTCTTGTACATCAGTCAAGATCTATGAGTTTAAAGAGAACTGTCTAAGCTACATAATCATCATTAGAAAAAACCCTGGATTTCTATATTCATAATTCTCATATATCTACATAAAGAACTGTTTGTAGTATTAACAAGTCAACAGTATTCATATGGATTTTACATATATATTTGAAGAATTATACAAAACTTTAAAAAAAGCTTCTTTGATTTTAGGAACGAAACAGTTCTTCTATAGGATCAATAAAAAATTTTCATAGAGATCAAGCCTGTACAGAAAAGCAGTTTTGCAGATCTTTACATCTCTTGCAAACGTGCGAGAGATATTTGTTTTTCTCAAAAACTTTCGATATCTTGTCTTCAAAGTTGGACTTATGTTTACGAGAATAAATACGAAATAATGGTTAAAATATCTGATAAATAGAACATAACAAACTGAAAAACTAAAAGAGATGTCAATGAAATCTCTTCGTTATGATTCATAATTTAATCTCGCAGTTTTCATTGTATTGTTCGAAAACAAAATGAACATTTACTAATTTAAACTTCTCAAAAGTATGATCTACTATTATTTCTGAAAATTTTTATTACAACAAAACTTACCAATAAAATTTTGTTCAACAACAAAACCTACAACTAATAGAATTGCTGCAAAAGTAACAACTATCAATCGATAATTAACTGGAAGAAATTGTGAAAGATAGATAAATAAAATAAACCAAATAGGTATTGAAAATATATTAAGTATATATTTTATTACTGATGATTTATTATAAAGAATTAAAACAGCAAATATATAAATTATAACAAGTGATGTTATCCATGGTGAATCAAAATGATGAATATATTTTTCAAATATAACAAAATAATCATATCCTATTGTTGTTATACAATGATAAATAACACCAGATTGAAGAAATTCAATAGAAGGTAAAAAAATAATAATTAATATTAATTGTTTCCATTTTTGAATGCATAAAGGAACAATTGATTCAATAGCTTTGTCAAATATTTGTATTGGTAAAATAATAACTAAACCATAACATAAAAAATAGGAATTTGCATCGAATTGACGTAAATAATATCGGGCTATTGAAGTAAAATGATTTTTAAATGGAAATAAAAATGCACCAGCAAGTATCGACCATAAAATACTCTGTAGAAATGGTTCTAATATGCGATAAACAATTACAGCACATGCTCCACATACTATTACAAATAAAATAGTTGCAGAATGAAGAAATGCTGTACGAAGTATTCGTTGATCACGTTTACGTGAAAAATTTAAAATTGATAAAACACGAGTATCTGAAAAAAAAAGCAAAATAATAAAATAATTAAAAATCAAATATTCATTTGTAAAATATTTTACCATTAGTGGAACCCATATTAGATCTATCAACATGTTGTTGACGAGTAGTCATTAATCCATTAACATGACAAATTAAAGAATGTTAAATTCGATATTTGCTCAATTTTCATATTGTCTACCAATATGCGATCATTAAGATATTATAATTTGACAGACTATAAGACGAGTAAAAGCAAAGTTAACGACAGATGACGCTCAACTCCAGAATATATTAATCGGACAATAATAGATAATGTCATTAATTCTATTCAAATGTCAAAGCTTGAGAAACTCCTGTATTAGTAGGAGACTTCGAGACATTCACGTTTTTATGCAAAATATTTTTCTTCTTATCAACTTTTATAGTATGTTGTAAAGATAAATTTTCAAGCTCTTGTTAAGCAAAACATATGAGACCATACATGACTCTTATCTTTGCAAATAACTGCATGCGATACCTTTCTTTCATATTCATGCACGACCATAGTATTGCGAAAGTGTTAGCTACACGTGCACTTACTGAATATTTAAAATTTTATTAAATTGTACAATCTAGCACAAAAAAGTTCTATTTACAACGTATAACATGCAATGAAAAAATCTTTGCAACAATGGCAACCTACGTTGAACTATACTATCAAGTTCTATACCAATTAAATTTGTTTTTGTTGAAAAGAATAGAGTAATGTCTAAACTACGTTTTGCACCAGACATATTTTTCCGGGATGAATCTCAAAAGGAGGAAAAGTTAAGAGCTAAATTTCTTTAATACAATTCTTGCAATGTCACCATCGAGCAAAATCATTTTCTACTTCTGTTAATTTTTTTTATTGGTAAGCGGATTAAAAAAAAACCGTGTTTGATTATGGTTTTTGTAGCATAAAAGGTACTCTTTTCAATAGTGTCTTGAAAGTCTAATTTACTCTTAGTCAGAATACCAAAAGGTACCTATGTCATGAAAATCATCTCAGTTCAGACGACTAATCACAATATTGGAAAAATTATCGATTAATCGAAACTCATCAGCAACTTTTGATAAATGACAACTTTATGACTAAAAGAATAGCTAAATGATTAAGAATAGAATTTTACTTGATATTTTTTTTATTTCCAGGTATGTAATTAACATTTACTAGAAGAAATGACTCGAAAAGTATTTTTAGAATTAGATATTTTGTTGTATTCTGAAAGTTTGTATTAAATATGTATTGGGTGGATTCGTTTCATTCAATACAAAATAAACGAAGATAACCCTATAGTCTATTGTATACTAGAAGCATCTCATTTTATTGCACTAGCTATCCAAAGCTATACAACAAGATATTGCACGTAAGAAACGCTTTTCTTGTCTTCAGAAGTGAAGAAAAGAAAGTACTGTTTTAATCTTTGTGAATTGATAAAAATCCAAGTACTATAGAAAATATGCAACGTCCAGTCCGCCATCGCCAATGAAACACCAACCAGACAGTAAGTATTACATGTGTTTAAAATCATACCTAGATTTTTGTTTAGTATGTTTCTTGACAAGTTTTTCTTAATACAATATTGTTCAGGTCAACCAATCAGACAGTAAGATCAGTTACAGATTCTTGTATGGCCATATCGTGTTTTACTTCACAATCCTACAAGATCATACGACAAACCGTACGCAAGATCGTGGTCTCAGAACTCTTACATCAATTCTTGAACTACGTTGCGTACAAGATCCAACAATATGATCATAAAGGATCGTACTGCAGAATTTCACTATATTTTATCATTCTCTGAAAGTGTGGTGCGAGTAGGTGCGGATGTGGGGTGGGAGTGTGGATCTACTATTTATTTACACACCCACACCTACACTCACGCCCATACCTACACACACAACCACACTCATACTCATCCACTCCCATGATCTCTCTTATATTAGCTCATATTTTGATATTTTGCTAATGATAAATTCGTACTATTATCGAATATATATGATTCAAATTTTTTTCTGTTTGTATCCAAGATTTTTTAGAATATATTTAGTTTAGCTTTTCAAAAGCGATCTTATATATATTGTTTTTTTTTAATTTTTAACTAATAAATCAGTTGATACTAAGAAAATGTTGAAGTGTCAATTATTTACTCAACACATAGTATTTAACATCCATTATATTGTAAATCAAAACGTTGAATTCGATTATTATTTTGATCAACAACATACAAATTATGGTGAATATCAAATTTCAATTGAACTGGATGGTTAAGTTGAGTATTACTTATTCCAGCAATGCCAGTACCTATAATAAGAAAAAAAAATATTTTCTAATAGACATAATATTCCTGATGAACGATTGAACGAAAAAAAAAAACCTTTTTCTTGACTTATTTCGAAATACCTGCTTTTCTCTATTTTTACCTGCAATTATACGTCCTTGGTGGGCATTAACTAACCATTGAACAATGCGATGATTCCCACTATCTGCAACGTACACATTGCCATGTGGATCGATTGCGACACTCGAAGGTAAATTAAGATGAAATAAATTTTGTCCATGACCAGTACCACCTGCTACTGTAATACCTTGTATGGAATTCAAATTAAATTTTTGTACTCGATGATTTCGAGAGTCTGTTACATAGAGTGAACCAGTTGTCTCATCGATAGTAATACCTAATGGAAGATTAAGGCTAACATTATTTGAACCAGATATTCCAGTACCAACAGCTAATTGCAGTGTATTGTCTGTTAAGTTCAATTTCAATATACGATTATTTCGAAAATCAGACAGATAAAATAATTCACGCATTCTATCTATTGACATATAATATACAGAATCAATTTGATTCAAGGCTGATCCAACACCATAATGACCCACAATGGTAGTACCATCTGGCGAACCTTCTGTTGTACTTAATGGAAAAGCAAGTATACGATAATTGCCAAGATCGGAGACATACAATTGATCTTTCCAAGCTAAAAAGAAACACAAGATTTTAATAGTAGATTCAAACATTTTATAGTCGGTTCTAAAACAAAAATTCTCAGACGATATAAATTTATTCTGTTTTTAAATTTGATTCAACTCGATTTATTTTGAAAAAAAAATGAAGTTCACTTACCTACAGTAGCAGCTGCATATTTAAATAAAGATCCCCGAATGCTTCTACCAGCAACAATACGTCCTTCTGTAGCATTTACTGGCAAATAAACCACACGGTTATTGCCTGAATCAGCTATGAATAAGTTACCATTGGTATCGATTAACATATCGTTCGGATCTTTAAGATAAGATCGTGAAAGTGAATTTGTACGATCAGACGATCCAACAATAGTAACAGCTTGACTCTTCCAAATTGCATTTGCTGCACAAAGAGGATCGATCAAAACTGTGTGTTAAATTAAAATGTTATATATTATTAAATAAATTAAAAGCAAATCAAAAGATAGACCTGTTCGGTGATGTTTTAGTAAATCACTGCTTTTCATAATAGTAGTAGACAGGGCTAAAAAAATTCAAGAAAATCTTTGATAATTTGTGTAATTAACTAATCATGTTTTTTCTTTCTCTTTATCAAAAGTGACAAAGGACATTTGAAAGTTTAATACAGTGAAATTTTACTATACAATTTGTTTATTTTTTCAAAATAATAAGGATAAGTTATTTTTCAATCAATAATTGATTTTCTTCAAAATTTTCATTTGACACATTTATCAATGTATGATAATATGTGCTGTAGTGGAGATGTTCATGGTGGTGCTGCCATCGCGACGGCGTTACGACATAGGAGATGTTTCAAAAATATTATCACGATAGCAACAGCTTCTTTTTTTTAAGGAGATTGTAAAATTATATGAATTTGTACCCGATTTGAGTGTCTACAAATCCAACAGTCAGAACCATGATGAATCTGATGGATTCAATCTAGCTGTACTAATTTAGCACAGTGATGGAAGAAATTGTCGAAGAATTTCTCGAAAACTATTATGACAGCAGTTTGATAGCCTAGTCTCTTCTAGGATCGCGGTGCAGCAGCAGCAGATTTCCAGCTACAATGGACATCTATGCTCTGTAGGTTTTTTGGTGATAATGTAGACTCATCTTTCTCTTAGTTTCAGACTAACTTGATGACATTGTCATTGTTGTAGTTATTAAAGTCACGCATTGTTCACTATCTAGAATAAAAAATATTAGAAAATGATTTTTTGTAATTCTTCTTTTACTATTATAAACCTTTGGTTGAATTGTGAATAACAATTGGCAATAGTATGACTGCCATAATGCATACTAATATCGCTGAACCTGCTAAACTCGCCAATCCAATATGATGATAATGTCTCATCCACCAACGTAACAAACGATTTGTCTGAACTGTTACTTCTTCTTGATGACTAATCGGCTGGAATATTTTTATATGTTAGAAAAAAAAAAAGATAACAGTTGTTCTTGTTTTTCTCATATTATGTACCTGAACACTAGCTATCGTTGGTTCCAACATAATGAAAATTGAATTTTTATCTAAGAAAAAAAAGATTAAATAATAATAGATAAATACGTATCTTATTTTGGAAATATGCTAAGAGAATCAAACAGAATTAAACATTCGATACTAGTTTACAATTATTGGTATTCATTTATAAATTACTCATGCATCATTGTAAGTTATTTTTTGCCTATGCTTATTATACTTGTATATGTTTTATAAATATATATAATTTAAGTTCCACTAAAGCTGTCTACAGAATAAAAGTCGTATACTAAACCGACTTTTATTACATTAACTAATGAAAATTGTCCAAAGAGAAGTGACATTATATTTTTTGTTTGTAGAAAACGTTTTTATTTGTCACAAATTGATAAGTTTTTCTTTCTTTGTTGAAGTGTCTAGAGCAATTTTTTACGCTTTTTTAAATATAACTAAAAACAAAAGAAACCGTTGTCTTATTAAAAAAAAGTAACCAACGTAGTTTTTTATAAGAAAGAATAATAAGAAAATATTGAACAAGTTAGTCTGCTGCAATATAATATTTGCTTTTCTTGGTTGTTAAAACGCCATCTGCTAATTGCAATCCATAAATAGCATACTATTTAAGAAATTTATTATTTTTTCTTTTGAAGAGTCAGTCTTTTTTTTTCAATTCACTTAAATTAACATTTTTATAATATAGAGGTTTTTGACGTACGTGAAGTTAGCGCAAGATTCGAGCAAATCCAGTCAAGATTCGTCTAGGAACATGTTCCAAACGTTTCAATGCTTGTTCCAAGTACAATTTGACGAGCTCTATCCAATGATATAATCAGATTTTCCATAATTCATACAACGTCCAGAAAAATCTCGAAATACTAGTATTTGGCTATAGAATTCTTAGCAGAAGATTCGAGTAAATACGACCAAGATTCATCAAGGGACATCTTCCAAACATTTCAATACTTGTTCCAAGTACAATTCGACGAGCTCTATTCAATGGTATGATCAAGTTTTCTGTAGCTCAAATTACGATTTTTGGAACCATAGATGGTGGTGTAAAAAAAATCTGAAAATTATATTTTGGGCTTTGGAAAATCTGATCATACTACTGGATAGAGCTCGTCGATTTGTACTTGGAACAAGTATTGAAACGTTTGAAACATGTTTCTAGACGAATCTTGGTGGGATTTACTCGAATCTTGTGCTCACTTCACCTACGTAGGTTTTTTTTATCTCAAATCTTTTAAGCATCTATATAAATGATTTGGATACGTGATAGAGCAGATCAAATTCATCCAACAGTACGTATTATACCATTTAACATCAATAAAATATTTTAATTAAATATTATAGTTGGATTCTCTTCGATATACTTATTCACAACATCAACAACGTGTCGCAATACAACAAGATCTCTATCAACATAGAACAAATTGGTATAAAAAGATTTTTTCTTTGTTCAATTTCAAAACAAAAATTATATTCATAGGAAAGTCATCGGTAGTTTCATATCGTTCACTATTTTTGTCATGTTACTTTTTACAACAGTTGTTGGAATACCGATTATTTTAACTGAAGTAAGAAGTAAGTTTGGCATATATATATATATTTAATATCAGATTGAATACTCTTCTTTGTTTAATATAGAAAGATCGGTTTGTTCTGTGACATATCATTGGGTTCAATATTCAACTTTAAATAGTAAGAGAAAATAATCATTGAGGAATAACAAATGAATTACGTGAATGACAAGTATTAAACATGGATTTGCTCATAGTTTAATATTAGTTCGAGATAATATATCGTCGACGCTTTCTTTTAATTTCTTTTTAATTGAGAATATGGATCAAATTATTTATTTTGACTAATGACTTTCACATTACTATTCCCTAGATTGTAAGGATATGTTCTAAAAATCGGAATTCATCTGTGTGTCTATAACTATTGTACAAATGACTGCATAAGATAACAAAAAAGGATACTTACGATTTAGGATTCAAATCAATCGAGGAATAGAATCCTAAGACGAAGAATACAAAATCTGTATATACTCTGTATTTCTCCGTATCGTTTGAATTCACATTGGCCGCAGAAGCAGGTCGAAATGAGGCTAGAAGAAAAGCCTAAATTGGTTTGTCCCCATGGGCTTTTGCCGTCGTGTTGTGAGTGACCGATTTATTGAATTTTCGATTCATTGGTAGGTATCTTCCGAGAAATCAAATCATGAAGTTTCGATCTAAAATTTTTTCTATAGATAGGTCTAATTACTGTTAGAATATTTTGAAAATTTCAGCTGAAAAGAATATTCCTTCGTTGAGATATTAAATTTACAAGTGAACTCTATTGTTGTGACATGTGTGTGACAAAGAGTTATTTAGAAAAATTTAATGTTTTGACGAAGGAACATTCTTTTCGGCTAAAATTTTCAAGATATTCTAGGAAATATTAGATTGATCTATAGGCAAGATTTTAGATCGAAACTACGTTATTAGATTTTTCCGAAAATATCTAGAAATGAAATATACCTACAGTCCAGAAATTGGAAATTCAAGGAGATCAAGTAGGATTCAGTTTTTGGAACACTCACAGCTGAATTGTATGTGTTAGTCTTTGTAACTCCGTCAATAGGTATGTATATGATAGTGTTTCAAGCCATTCTCATTGTAGAATGCCTTCAAGTCCTTGACTTCTACTTTAATCGAGGTAGAATTTTCAATTTATAGACGGTGAATCGTGCTGAAAATTTTGAGATCAATATTAAAGAACAAACAAGAATACAGTTAGAACAGTGCAACACTCAAAAAACTTGATAAAATTTTTGTAGACAAGTCAATAACATTGCACATATAAAATGAATTCTATTTTGGCAAGCGTAACATATTCAAAATTAGTTTTTTTCTTTATAAACATAAAAATTACTTTAGTCAACGCACGTTTATATCTAATTGCATTTATATACATATCTCTATCCTATCAGTCTAGGGCCAAATGAATCGAGTCTCGATGAACATTACTTGTAGATTATATCTACTGAAATAAAGTCATAATTCTTTCCAATTTGTATAGTTCAACTATTTACCATTGACACAACAATTCCTGAAATAGATAGACGGCGGAACGACAAGGCTTGAGAAAGCAAAAGTCTACCCTAGATCTTATTTTTAAAAAGTTGAGCATATTCTAGAATCAAAACTTTGCAGTAATTATTTATGATTTATATGCTTTGTATTTCAAGATTCTATACATTTATGTACAGCAACTGCAATGTGGAATCCTAGAGGTGTTACTGTCGCTGGTTTAGCCAGTGGACTGCCATCCACATCGCTTGCCGGCTTACAATTTCCTCATGACATCTATGTATATGGCAATGGAACTATATTAGTAGCCGATTACAATAACAATCGTATTACTAAATGGGATCCAAATGCTACAGCAGGAATACTTATAGCAGGTACAGGTTCATATGGCTCTTCAAATACCTTACTTGCTAAACCGGCAGCTCTTGCTAGTAAGTATAGAAGAAATATGAATATCTTGTTAAATATTATTAAAATTTCTTTTTCTAGTTCGAGATAAACAATTGTATGTTTCGGATCTTGAGAATTATCGCATACAGGTATGATTTCATAATGCAATATCTTCTCAATTTCTGTGAATCATAGCTAGAAAAGATGATTTTATTTTAAAAAACTGTTAGCACAACATATGCTTTAGTTCGTGATTTCCATCACATTAATATGTTTGTGATAAAAGATGTTATTGTGCATACAACATTACAGTGAGTTTAGAAAGGGGTCCAAAGACACGTATTTTGAATTCAATCTCCTTTCATAATAGTTTCGCAGAAATTGTTAGGTTCGTGACCAAGTGTATCACAGGTTGTAATGAAAAAAAAACGTTGTTAAGAGATTCCTCACAATGTGTGTGAGGGAGGGAGGTCCAAATTTCTATTCTTAGACTTCAACATTTCTTTTAGATCATGTTTCACAAAATGTTCAAACATAGTAATTAGAGAAGAGTGATTATAGTCAGTTGTCGAGAACGAAAAAAAAACCCGAATTTGATTCTTTATTTAGATATTTCCTCTTCATAGCAACGTAAGTTCTCCAGAAGCTGTAACAGTAATCGGACGTTATGGTCAAGGTTCTGATATAAATCAAATCGATCAGGTAACCAATTTAATAGTTCCGACCTTATATCCATCATTATTATATATGGCTGATTCGAAAAATCATCGAATTCTTGTTTGGGATGCAGAAACAGATACTACAAAATTAGTTGCTGGTGAATCGGGTACATTTGGATTTAATCCAATGCAACTATACAATCCAATTGGTATTGCATTAGATGAAAAAACAAACTCACTTTATATTGCTGATACATTTAACAATCGTGTACAAAAGTACGATATAAATGAACGAAATTCAAGTATGACTGTAGCTGGTTGGGGTCATCTTAATCATCCATATGCTGTACAACTTGATCCATCTGGTACTAATATGTTCATTGCAGATACTTTCAATCATCGTATTTTAGTATGGACAAATGGTACTCGACAAGGTCGAGTTATTGCTGGTGATAACACACCAGGTAATAATGCTTTTCAACTTAATAATCCAACTCAAATTCGATTTGATTCAAATTATAATTTATATGTTGTTGATACTAATAATTCTCGTATTCAACGTTTTGATCTTATTTCGAATGGGTGTTAAAATGAAAATGATATTATATCTTATATTAATTAGTTGTATTGTTTATTCTCAATAAAGAACGAATCTTTATTATATTGATGTTGACTACAATTTTGTTAATAAATATTGAATCCTAATCTATAATCAATCGGTATCGTGATACATCATGATTGCAATATCACTTCCTTTCTAAAATTTGGAAAAATCACCTGTTTTAAGCTTTTGTGATTACTCCTAGATTCTGATAACAAATGAATACAATCTTACGAGGAAATATATTTCAATGTATCCATCAGAGAATGAGTTCAAAAGCATTCTATCTGTTAGATACCTCGATGAATATCAATAACTTAGTTGTCTCCATTTCTGCCTTCAAAAGATAAGAGTGTCTAACTTTTTCATTTTTAGACTCTTTGTTAATATTTTTGCAAGAATAGGCATTTTTCTTTGGAGAAAACGACTTAATATGAACATAAATTGATATGAACGATTCATCTCGATCTCACAAGTGAAGTTATCATATCTATCTACTGCGATCCTATGTTATCAAAAACATAAGTTGCTTTGTTCAAAGAAAGTTGCTTGTTCTTGAAAATATGATGAAGAGGAAAAATGGCATGATACATCTATTAATGTCCACACAGCAGTCGAGAGAGAAGAACGCTGAATATGTTGTTGTGTGATACTATATAAGACAAAATTATTTTAAAATCTATCATCTTGACAAAACATTCAAAAAAATGCATAAAAACGGTGTTCCATTATGATGTAATTTTGACTTTGATATGTACTTCAGATCTTATAGATCAAGGCACGATTCAGGTGATTATTTTCTTACATTTGAATTCTGAGCAAAATAAATCGCGTATCTGTTTATCAAATTATACAGAAATTTTGTTGACTTTTAGCAAAGTTTCTGACTTTTTTATTAAAACTTTCCTTGAAATAGAACACCATTTTCACGCATGTTTTCTGAACTCTTTGCGAAGATGACGCATTTTAAAATAATTTTGTGTTATATAGTATCAGACAAAGAGATGTTTGAAGTTCTCATCTTTCGACTGCTGAAAATCGCAGGTCGCTAGCTATTGCCATTGTCCAGTTGTTGCGATTACACCTATCCCTCTTTAATTCTGGCGTGAACATCAGTAAGACAAGAGCCTAAAATAAACAAGTTAGACACTTTCGTTTTTCGAGATCGAAATGGAAGCAACTAAGATATTGATATTCATCGAGGTCTCTAACAGATAGAACGCTTTTGAACTCATTCTTAGGAAATGCACTCAAATATGCTCCGTTGTTAATTGATAAACAAAATAGCGTGAATAACGAAAGATGTTAGTTTAAATTGAGTATTGTGTGCTTCTATACTCAAGCATTGACAACATTGAACAATAATCTAAACAATTGTTTAACACTTCATCAACTTTTCGTTTCATAGGTGTTACTGAATTTTGTTGTAAAAATTGTTTTGTTTAGTTTTGTTCGTTTGATATCACTACATGTAGATGGAAATTTTATTTACTGTTTCACAATACAAATAAAATAATAGAATGAGAAAAAAAGATGTGTGTTCAAATTGATGATCGTCTTTAGTTTTGCACTGTATTAGGTGTAAAAATTTCATTTAATTGTTGTCTATAAAAAAAAAAAAACATATAAAATAATTTAAATAACACTAAACAATTCAATAATTACGAGACACGAATAAATGTTGTACGACGACTAAGTTCTTTTAATTTACCAGCACCTACATAAGTACAACAACTGCGTACTCCACCTATAAATAGACAATTAAATTTTTTTGTCTAAATTTAATAAACAAATCTACCTAATATATCCTGTGCAGTGCCTAAAACACTTCCTCGATATGGTACTTCAACTGTTTTACCTTCAGAAGCTCGATATTCTGCTACGCCACCGGACTATAATCAAAAGACAATAAAAAAACAGCAAATTATAAATTTTTTTTTACATGTTTATCCATAGCTGTTTTTGATGACATGCCATAAAAAAGTTTATATTTACGTCCATTACGTTCAATTACATCACCTGTACCACTTTCATCATGACCAGCAAACATACCACCAAGCATAACAAAATCAGCACCTAATATTCAAAAAAATTGTAATAAAAAAAACTCGCTTGATTAATTTTCTATTTCTTGATATTGAATGAGGATGAAATCGTTTCGACATATAAGGGAGTGAAATTTGTTTTAGCTGTTTGTCTTAAATATTCATTTTGATCGATATTCCTCGAAAATTTGCATGTATTATGTCGTTTATATGATTAATTTATTTTGAATATTTGATCTCAAAATCTATATATATATATATAAATTAAATATCTAACAGAAAGCTGTAGTATATCAAGAAATAACTTGATATCAAATATCGAGTCAAGTCGTAGATGACTGAGTGTCTTTGAAAGCGGCGGACACTACCTATGGTAACTTTAATTTTTACTTATAAACGACGTTTTACAATTAAACATCATCGGAAGTATCGTTTATCTTTTGCAACAAAAATAATTGCATACGTCCATATCCACGAAATATAGTACACAGTAAAATCTCTTCATGTGATCACTTCCTTATTGTGAATAGTGGGAGCTTATTTCTGGTCTCATGAATAATAACAACTTCTGTAAAGTGAGCAATATATATTCTATTACTCACCTATAGAACGAGGAAAAAAAATGATGTTATGCGTATTGCACTATGATAGACAATCATGAGATACATGCAAAAATAGGATGAACTAGTCGTGAATATTTAAAAGGGAAAAAACATTAGACAAAAGCATCACTGCTTGTTATAACACAAACTTGAAAAACCTACCCATGTGCGTTCATGTATGTAGGGTGAAATTTTTAGAAGAATTATTTTCTACATTAAAAACTTTTCTAATAGATATTATGTTTTGTTTTACTTTGTTATGTCCTTCAAATATGAGTAGTATTAGAGTATTTCGTCTGCTTACATCGCTGTTTAGGTTAACGTTTGTTTTGTTTTTCTAATACACATAACAAACTATTTGTTACAAGTCGCATGCAAGGTAACAAATTAGAAAACTTTGTTATCCTGTTAACCGTCAATCTAACCTATCACTCTCATCCGTGTCCTCGGATGGTCCATCATGATTTGAGATAACTAATGCTACTTTATAAGAAAAATGAACAATATCTAACATGAAAGTTTTTATGTTATGGTTTAGTTGTGAGAAATCATTTCTTGATAACCATGTACCAAGACTCAGTATCATTTGATGATTGATAAAACTAAATTAACTGTTTACATAATGTTATTTTGAGTGCGTAGTAGCCCTGTTTCTCCTTCGGTGTTTTTAAACACATATACTTTAAAAAACGATTCTATTTTGGCGATAGGAAAAATTTTTCATTTTAGCAGTAGATTCTGCATCTCTGGTGTAACATCTCGTCGTCATTGTGTTAACAGCTAGTAACATTGAATTATCTCTGATTAAAAAACTGTCATCTTCTACAGTCGACAAGTAATTGCAACTGAACACGTATGAGTTGTGAAAAAAAAGGAAACTAAAAACATGCCAATAATGAGCACTTGTATAAAGATAGCACTTTTTCGACCAACCGAAATAATGCCTACATTAGAGAGATTTTACTGTATTCTAATGGAAAACAAAAAGCAGAGCCCCGAATGAATGTCCGTGTAATATTAGTTTCGCACTCTACCCCTTTTTTTCCAAGTGACCATGAGTATCCACAGTTTTCACAAGTATCCTATATAACTTAAATGAACACATATGTTTCATATCGAAACATTTTCTCATAATTGTAGATTTATACAAAATAGATTTTCTCTTAAAAATAATATCTAAGCTTACCGGCTCCAAATGCTTTTGCTACATCACCAGGACTTGCACAACCACCATCCTAAATAATCTTCGTTTAATCTATATCTAATATCAGAAAAATAATAACTTACGCTAACAATATGTCCACCAAGACCATGAGCAGCATCAGCACATTCAAGTATACATGATAATTGAGGATAACCAACACCAGTCTTCAAACGTGTTGTACAAACACTACCTAATTTGAAATCTTTAATAATAAATTATATGAATTCATTTATCTAACCTGGTCCAATACCACATTTAACAACATCAGCTCCACTTAAAATAAGTTCTTCAACCATTTCACATGTAACAACATTTCCTGCCTTTGAAAAATAGAATCACATAAAAATACTAAATATAAAACAAAACTTTCATACAAATATCGTTTTATCAGGAAATTCTTTTCGAATTAATCGAACAAATTCAACAAAATGTTCCGAATAACCATTAGCAACATCAACACATATATATTCAATTTCTGGTATTGCATCAATAACTTCACTAAAAGATTTTTTAAAAAAAACAATCTATTAGAAAAAAATTATTCATTTATTTTAAAATATACCGTAATTTTTTAAAATCATTTTCTGTCATACCAGTTGATATTGCTACATTCTTAAAAAAAACACAATTAGAAATTAATTTATAAAATTTCAATTTTTATCTTCTTACAGGAAGTACTTCTTTATTTTGATTAGCAAATTCTTTCCATTGGCCAACTGTATAATGTTTATGAATAGTTGTAAATAATTGTAACTAGAAAAATGAGAAAAACTATTTAACATAAAATAAAATAAAATAAAAATACTTTTGATAATTGTATTGCCATTTCAAATGTTCCAACCGTATCCATATTTGATGCAACTATTGGAATTCCTTCATAAGTTTTTTTACTATTACGAAATATAAATTGTCGTGTTAAAACAACATCTGCTCGACTTTTTAATGTTGAACGTTTTGGACGAATAAGAACGTCTTTAAAATCAAGTTTTATATTATTATCAATATGAGGCATTTTTTAATGCGTTTTATCTAGAATTTCAAAAAAAATGATTAATACAAATTTTTATGATAACCATCATTCTTAATCATATTAAGTTTTTCCCATTAATTGTGATTTAGCTTATATTAATCGATGAAAAAAAACTGTATTCATTGTAGATCATGGTTCATAAAATGCTTGAAATTATGAATAATCTATATGAAGATGTCAATTTAAGATTGCCTTGACTGTTATTTAAAACATGTACAAGTTTTGAAATGAAATAAACATTGTACTGTTGTTGCTATTTTTATAATATTTCTCTCAAGTTTATTCTTAAAATTATAATTATCTTACTACGATTGTAAAATATTATCTAATATTTATCAAAGAAATGGAACAAAAGATTTTGATTTTAACTTATCGGCTATTCCAATAGGAATGTGAACAATACATTGAAAAAAAATTCAAGTCACTATTTCGATAAAAGAATCATATTGTTGGAAAGAAAAAATTCATTAGTTCTTATTAGTACCGTAACCAAGGAGAAAATCTAACGAAGAAAGTCACTCAACTGATCAATAGCTTTTGAGTCGAAACTATGTACACCTTGTAGATCTTAATGAGCTATGAATACTCTGAAAACAATTTGAGTCCTTAGCTTATTGCTGACGAGATATTGAATTTCTGCGGTATTTTTCAATACTGTGACCATCCTCAGCAGTACTAGGAAAAATAATTTTTGAATTTCACCTTGAAACTTTGACAGAAACAGATCTTAACAAGAATAGTTGATTGTGAAAGTTTCAGGTTCTTTCATTTGCTTCTATCCTGAAATAAGAACATCGAACCTGTCAGTGTACATAAACAATGTAAAACGACAAAATTTTGCCATAGCTATACCTTAGAATAGAAACAACGAAAATATGTGAAACTTTCACAATAACCTATTGTCATTAAGGCCTGACTGTGAGCAAAATTTCAAGTCAAAATTTAACAAACGAGTTTTCCTACTGTTTCAGAGAGGGACCAAAGCCTTACCACAAAATATACCATAAAAATGTGGTGTCTTAATAACAATAAGCTTAGAGCCCTGAACCCTGTTCAAAGTATTCATAGCTTATTAGGATCTACATGAAGTATATATTCTCGATTCAAAAGCGATTAATCAGCTGAGAGACTTCCCTCGCTACTCGGAGCCGTATCAGCTCAACTCTGCTACAAGCTCCTCCACCAGAAAGAATCCGGTTATGTTAAGCTCTTCCACTGTCAACATACTAATTACGCCACTACAAGTTCTTATCATTTTTTTCTGAACTGATTAAGGTTTAACTGTATTCACAAGATAACAGTCCGCAACGTTCTTTCAATAATTAACATTCCTATTATTTGAGTTTTAGATTTTCTTTCAGTACTATGCCAATCAAAAAAAAAGTTCAAATTAGAAATGTTTTTTAATATGTTGTACAAATACTCATATTTCTTCAAAAATAATCACTGTACTTACATTCGCTTTTTGTACTCTCAAATATGTTCTATTTTTGATAGGTTACATATGATAAAAGTTGTCGTCGCTTGATTAAAAAAAAAAAAAGAAGAAGAATTGCAGCTCTCTCTTATTTCTTGTTCCACATCTATTCTTGCCTTGTTGTCCAAGTCATACTAAACCAAACTATTTTATCTATAAATGAAACATACTTTCTTTTAGACTATGTAATTCATATTTTATTCTCTTGATTATTTAACATGTTGTTTTTCTTTTTTTTTTTTTTTTGTAGGCCTCTTTTAAAACACGATAAACAAAAAATGCAATCAAATAAACACAAGCGCATTAATATACATGAAAGAAAACGAAAATACATTGATCAAGTTTCCATAAAGTAAAAGCTTAATTAAAATATAGGAATGACGACACACAACATTGTTCTATTTATTTATTTATTTTTTTCTAATATCTGACATGGTTCTTATTGACAAGACAAATAACAAGATCGATTTGAACCTATGCTCGTTTAACCGTATTTTCTGTTGCTTGAGCTATTGTTAATAATTTTTCACCTGCAGGTTTGACAATTGTTGTTGTTGGTGTTGTTTTTGGTAGAATACCAGATGTTGGTGTTGTTGCTGCTGATCCTTTATTTTTCGTATTTGATTTAGTTGGTTTTTGTCGTTTTTCTATTTCTTCTAATTGTGCACGCATTTCATCTTCAAATGGATCCATTGCTGGTTCTTCACGCCAATATGTATAAACTGAATATGTTTCACTTGCAGAAAATGAATCCATTGGTGGAAATAAAAGATCAACAATTTCATGTAAATTTTTATACCTTAAAATAATTAAAAAGAAAAAAAGAAAATATTTGAAAAAAAACATAAAAAGAATTATAAAAGACATACGAAGTTGATAATGCTTGAGATAATTTTTGTCGCACAACTTCACCACGCGGATTTATTGTATATATACGCGTTACTGGTATTCCAACAGCTGTATATGCCCATTGATCCTAGAATAAATTCAGTTTTTATAATAATGTGAAAACAAGAACGTTCTGATTGTTTTTATAGATAGATAATATGAGAGTTCTACTGAACAATATGACATATAGAAAAATTTCATAAAAAATAGTGTAGTCTTAAAGCTTTACAAAATTCACAAGCAAAATCCTTCAACTGATGAATCGTTTTTGAGATGAGACTGTATGTATCATATGGATCCTAATGAGCTATGAATATCTTGAAAAGAGCTCAGATCCTTTGATTATTTCTGCCAAGATACTGTATTTTTAGAGTATATTAGTAAATCACAGCAGTAGTTTCTGTCAAAATCACTAGGCAAACTGATTTTCAAATTTCTACTTGAAATTTTGCTCACAGTTAGACTTTAATGAGAATAGATTATTGTGAAAATTTCATTTCTTTTACATCGCTTCTATGCACTGACAGATTCATATATGCAAAGTTTCGAATCGAAAGTCGAAAATGAATTGTTCTAGTGTTCCTGAGGGAGACCACGGCATAGTCTTGAAAAAAATTCTATAAAAATGCTGTAGTCTCGACTCAAAAGCGGTGCATCAGTCGGGAAGACTTCCTTCATCAGATCAATGTTTTCGAAGTTGACTTTGAAATACATTTTAACGTTTCAGATTTATTCTTCTATGATAACAGGCTATCATATATTATTGAATGATTGATCACAATGACAACAAGTTGATAATGAATTGTTCAGTTATTTAATATGTAAAAATTTGAACATTTTATTTTCATCTATCTAATGAAGAACCTAAACGATATGTTTTGGTATCCAAAAATTTGATATTCTTCAACTATTTTCAATTAGATGAACATATATTAGAAAAACAAAATTCAATACAAAAATTGATTCTCTATTATTAATATCTAACAGAAAAACAAGAACACTTACATTAATTCGATTACCAAAACCAGCATAAAATGGATTTTTGCCAGGAAAAAGACTAGCAATATTTTTTAAACATTCTATTTTGAAGTCTTCAGGTTTTTTAGCAATAACTTCTCTAGAAAACAAAAAATTTTCTTTGTTTATCAAATATTAAAATAAAAATCACTAAAACAAACCGATAGAGTGCTGTCATTAATGTATCAGGTGAAATAAGCAATGGGCCAATAGGTAATTCTCGATCAGATTGTTTAATATTTTTTAAAAAATTTCTTGTTATTTGACTTTGTCCAATAGCCCGTGCCGATAAATAAATAAACTGATAACCATTTTCTTGTATAGCATTAAAAAATTCTGCTATACCATCATGTGACCAATCACCACCAACTAATGGAATTATATGACCCAAAACATCTGATCTAGAATTAATATTTATTTAATATAAATTTAAGAAAAAAAAAACAAAAAAGATGAATATATACTTAGTTATTGTTCCATCAATATCAGAAATAACAAATTTTGTCATATGATCAAAAAAGAATATATTTGATTCAACAGTTGTTGTACCTTGTAATGCTGTTGTAACACTAAATTCAACTTTATTTTTACCTAATTTAAGATTTAAACGTTTTAATTGATCTGATGAAATTATCATAGTTTTTTTTAATATTGTTTGATGAGAAGAATGTGTTGAAGGTGATTGTTGTTGTTGTTGTTGTTGTTGTTGTTGCTGTTGCTGTGCTTTTTCTTCTTCTATTTTAGCTGTTAATTTTCTTACTTCACTATCTTCTTGTTCACTATCATTATCCGTTTTACTATAGAAAGAAATCAACAATTATTAAAACAAATTTTAAAAACAAAAGTTTACGAAATTTTTGAAGTTTTAGTATTATCATTTGAATCTTGACGAGTTAATGTTGTTGGTACAATTTCAGATTTAGCAGCTGCTGCAAGAACATCTGTTGATGTGATTGGTGTTGTTATTTTAGGAATTTCATTTTTCATGTCCGCCTTTTCAAAAAAAACAAAAAAAAATTAGCATTCATAGAAAGTAAAAATAAAAAAACAACTATTTATATCTTACTTTTTTACCATAAAATGGTAACCACCAACCACCACCAGTTGTACGTGGTTTTATTTGTGCCATATGTTTATCTTGTAATTGTTCGATTGTTTCAGTTGGTAATGGTTTATGAAAAATACTTGTTGCTATTATAAGTGCTGAAGCTACATTCCAATTATAATATCTAAACAATAGATAATTATTATTACTATTATATTTTTGTATGAATAAGAAATAATAATAATAACATACTTTCCATTAATACGTACAACTAAATTTGGATCATTAATAATTGACGGATTATTAGCAAATGTTTCGAAAGTAATAAGATGTGTATTGAATACTTCATCTGTAATTAAAGACGATTTATTAATATTACCACAAAGTGAAAGTTGAGCATCGCCAAGAAGACAACTAGAATTAAAATTTTAATATTATTGAAAAATAAAAATATTCTACGTGAATTGTTACCTAAGTCCAAATATTTGTCTCTTACATAGAAAGCAGTGACGAAGCCAGAAGGTTCACTCCCTGGCTTCGCCACTGATAGAACTA